AGACGGCGAAGAGAATATATTTTTTGCGATGTGAAATTTTCAGCTGAAATATATCTAAAATTTCTTATATTTCAGTAATTGGCTTTTGAGAATATTTTGTAACTATCACAAATAAATCAATGACAGAAATGTATTTTTTATTTATTAATTTGGCAAACCAGCATTGGTTCAGCCGACTCCAGCCGATATAAGCAGCCACCATAGCCTACAGCCAGTTGCGGTGATGGAGTATCATTCATGCGCAATGCGTTGCCTACCCTGAACCTTGTCCTGCAAGCTCTTAACTCTTAGCTAACTTAACAAGCACAACACTGAAAAGTAATGTTATTTCCGGTCGAATTTTTTTGTAGACTGTTCAGGTAATTCGCCAGACGGGAGCTCAGTACACTGTGCCCTAGTTTTATTTCTGTAAAAAATGTGGCATACAAGCATATTAAGGCCCACCTGATTGCTAGCGGCCGCCATAACCTATAGACACTTGTGAAACCAAATTATCATTTACTACCTACCCTGACCCCACCCCTTAACCTGTGAAACCTTGGAACCTTACTCGATTCTAGAATTACACCACCACCAAAACCTTCCCGGGAAGGACATAGGATACTTATACCCCGGAAAATATTAGTTTTCTGCGGAATTCTCTAAAATCTAACTTAAACGCTAAAGCGATAAATTTTTAGGATACGGACCTCTGTGCATCGCGTGTAATTGCTGAAAAAATGTTTAAGGGACTTAAAATAAGTAGTACCCACCAAAAACATTATGTAAAAAACTAGCCAAGTCTCGATGGAGCTGCTTGTTTATCTCTAAAAAGTAATGAAATCTAGACAAAGTCGTGCCAAGTCTAAGATTCTTTACAGCGATTTCTTTATTATTATAGTTAGGCGTTTTGCAGACGACGGAACGGGGCGGGCATTTTGTCCGCGCCGCGTACACAAAGCCCACGACGGGCAGAGGCGGTCAGTTCAGGATGTTCGTTCTAGTGAATAGTCCATCACTAAAGTGGCGCGGACTGAGCTGACCGCCCCGCGCCGCCGTCTGCGTTACTGCATATAAACTGGTTTGTATTATCCACGGCGGGCAGCCGCGGATATGCCGCGCCGCCACTGCCCGCCGGGCACCTGCAGCGCGGTCTTTTTGCCTCTGTGTGCGTTTGAAGTATAGGATTCACTTTGTGCTATTATTCGCGGCGAAATTGACCGGCCCACCCCACCCCGTCGTCTGCAAAGCGCCTTAATGTTGTGTGACTTGGCCGTTGAAGGGTACACAAGGGCACAAAACCAGGTGCTACATGACACCATTGCACCGATGCATTCATTTTGGGTTTTAAGTATGTTATTATAGCTTACTGGATGACGAGAATTTCTGCGTTCTGGTCTTATCCAGAGGTTCTCAAATAGGGGCCTGAAAATGCGGCGAAATGGTTCCAGTAAAGGATGGTACGGCAGTGTTTGTTTCGCGCTGGACTTGGTGGGGGCACTGCCGTGCCCCCCGATTACTAAAAATTCAGTATTGATTTAGTAATAATACTTATTACTAATTCCATAATTACTAAATAATATTATAAATTATAAAATTATTATTTATAAGAGTTATTCAACTTAACCTTCTTAGAATCATTTTGTCCTTACATAGAACGGACCCATAAAAAGGTAATACAGGCCAATTTTGTTATTTATAATTTCATTCCAAAAAGCAAGTGCAAGAATCACACTAATATAATGAAGTTAGTTAGAAGTTAGAAAGTTTGTGAGTGTGTATGTTTGTTACTTCTTCACGTCTAAACGGCTGGAGCGATTTTAATAAAATTTGGTATGAAGTTAGCTGACACCCCGGATTAACAAATTGGTTTTGTTTTACTGTGGGAAAATATCCCTTATAAACCGCGGGGCACAGCTAGTATTATGATAATCTGTTAAGCATTTAATTTTTAGTTTAAATGAAAAAGCTTTTATGTAGTAATAGTAAAAGCGGATATTTCGATAATTAAAGTGCAGTTTCATGATCTGAAAGGCCAAGATTTAATATTACTGATTAATTATTATTTTTTATATAGCTAGTACTTTGATCCAAATAAGACTTTCCTCTTGTTGGTTGTTCAATGTGGGTTCGAAAATTGTATCTTGTCGAAATACCTTTCAAATTTTCCGTTTGTTTATTCGGTTTTGAGACATCAAGGTTCCAATCAAACATAAAAATTTTCTTCCGTTTGTATTTGTTTGTTAATTAATGCAGTAATTTCTATAGTCTATAAAAAAAGTACCTAATGATGACGTTTTATTATCAGAGTTCTATAAACAGTACAAACGATGAGACCCACTATTTCAACTTCACAACACACAAAGTTCAGTTTGATAGCTATTCCTATATCTAAGGTTTTGTCTCCCATGACTTTCTTAACAGAATACAGTAACAATATATACTTGCTCTCTGTTAACTGCATTCAGACTTCAAATAAACAAAATTAAACCGAACGACCTATTCAAAGATTTTCCCGTACGTCGTGAGTGTTGCCAATTTCTGAAAGCTTGGTTGTTAATTTTCAATCAAAAATGTGTTTTTGTAGATTTTAAAAAATACAGAAAACTTTAAAAAACTCATGTCTTTATTGGGCATTCTAAACTCGTAAAAATAATGATGCTCCAAAAAAAACGCGTTATTTTCATGTTTTCCGATTCACGTTATTTTTCACGATAGAAAAAATAACTTATTTGCATCTCTACGCTTACCATCATGTTGGATATATGCTTGATTATTGTTTATTCATGTATGTATCCTACTATATCCAACTAATATTATAAATTAAATAAAACTAGTTTTTACGGGTTAATGCACGAAACTTTATTTATTTATTGACGTTTCGTAGCCTTTACAGGCTACGTCGTCAGCAAACAAAGAGGAGTATAGGGACTCGGGTAAACCCGATGTAGGAGAGCCCACAGTCGCATTCAAGTTTGTAGACACCAGCAACTTGAAAGGGTATATTGCACTTGACCGGTCGTAGAAACTGATCAGAATCCTCCCAATCTTGTCAGTGACTGAAGCGTCGGGACTCGGGTAAAAGAACATACATAAAAGAAATAATATTACTTGCAAAATTACCATTTGTTCTGTAGGTACACAAAACAGATAATGGTCTGTCTAATAACAATTTCAGACGTGCACTCGATCTCGACTTATGTTGCAGCAGTATATGTATTTGCATCCAAATTCTTCATGCATCGATTTAGTGCCCACTGGACCTTCATAATTGGACCTTACCTACAAAAAAGTACCCATTCGACCTCCTATCAAGAACAAGGTGCTCACTGGACCTTCAACTCGTCTACCTTTCAGAGTATTTTAAATGGAATTTCATTTATCCAACAAAATGATCCAATTCAAATCATTTTAAGCGTATCTAGGTTCTCTCTGCTTATATAGCTTAGAGATGTTTTTATTCAAAAACGTAATAATGTTTAGCATGAACTTTGATAAATCCGTATTCGGATCGCCAACGTCAAAATTTCTATGGAAACTAAGCCTATCGGTCGTAAGAACAAACTAGCTTTTACCACAGAAAATTTGACATGTAGATATGAATACTTTCTCGCTAGTTGTTCGTGCTTGGAGTAGTAGGTACTGATTATTAGAGCTTTTACAACTCTAACCGTAAAAGAAAAGTCAAACATAATTTCGGTAAACAAATGCACACGAGAACGATGATTCTCCAATCAATCACTTCCGTCGTTCTCGTGAGCGCGCGTCGTGTATTTTCTACGGACGCAAAAGGAAAAAAGGCTGATCGATCACAGACTTTGTTGATTTTTCGAACAATTGTAAATTAGCAGCTCTGCCTAAACACTTTGATTATTCGTTCATGGCGTAGAGGTGCGGCAATGTGGTTGATGCTTGCTCATTAGAAATATTTGGCTACAAAAGAACCGCAGTAAAATATTCACAATTTAACAATAAATGAGAGATCTCAAATTTTTATCACACTGATATGGAAACTGCTATATACATTTTATATTATATATATATATATATATATATATATATATATATATATATATATATATATATATATATTTATATGTGTATAATATAACATATATATATATCTGCTCTGACAACTAAATTATAAGTTTTTGAAATAAGTAAGTGGGATCGCATTATATAAGCCTGAACAATAGAAACCAGTTAGTGCCCATTCATGTCTCTGTCCGCAACTAGGAGCATGGTATAACGTGATATGCCATTATTGATCAATCTTAATTGAAACGGGCGGTCACGGCGGCGATCATGGTCACGTTGATTGTCAAGTCCATATACCTACACATATACACGTAACTACATAAATACATACGACTCTACAATACAACATGATCGATAGAACTCTATTTGAATTATGTCGAGCCCGTCCTTTGCGTCCATTCACGCATATGGATAGATGCGTGTCGGTGATACCTATTTTTTAATAGTTATATATGTAACTGTTGTATAATGCGGGGTGTAAAACACGAATGTGGTATCACATGAAAGTTTTAATAGCTAATTATAAACAGTTGCATACAAGACTTTATCTACACCCATGATTATTTGCGCGCGCTGTGGTAGTGAAAACGCTAATGCATTAACTAATCTAAACACACTTATGAACATACCCGATAAATGGTACCGTGTATAATTAGGGTTACCAACTTTTTTTCTATCAAATATAGTATTTTCAAAGCTGTTACCTCTAAAAATATAGTAGATGACAAAATAATGGAAAAAAATGGTATATGGTTAAAATATTTACTTCATTTTTGAAATTACTATATTTTAAGCTTGTACTGGCAAGTCTGCTTTAAGCATGTAGCAGTAGGATACTATATTATATAGTAGGGTTGACAACCCTAGGAAGAGGTTACTTTTAAAGACGGGCACTCCAATTCGATCGGAAAATCCGCTATGCACTACTTCTCTTGATAAATTATGTTTTTAAATTAAAAAAAAAACAACAAAGAAGTACTTACACTGATGCTCAACACTGGACCGACTTTGTACATAGAGTACCTATAGGAGAAGTGGCTGATGTCCTGTAGTGTGGTGCCGCACGGAAGCTTGTGCCCGATCTCTGCCATGATGGTGTATGCGAATTGCTCCATACGTTTAGGAGTGCCACCCATGCAAACGAACTGCGAAATGATTTGAGTAATTTGATTAAATTTTATCGTCATAAAACATACCACTACTACACTCGACTGCAAATAAACTGGGTCAACCGCTAGTACCTTGGAACTCTAATTCGATTTTTTCAAAAAGTATAAAACTTAAAACTATTAGAGCTTTATCTACAGAAAGTGTGTTTCATAATTATTAATATGAGTAAAAAATTATTCTAAAGTACTGTCAACTTACTTTGTAATCGAACAAGAACAGCAATGCTAACAATTTGCTATTTTTTGAATAATTTTGATAGTTGTAAGTTTTATACTTTTTGAGAAAATTAAATCAGAGTTCCGTGGTAGCAAGTGGCCCATTTATTTGCAGTCGAGTGTATATAGTGTAGGTACCTATGTAACATTATACGAGTGTTCATTTTTTTATGAAGGAAGAGCTTTGGCCGACCGGTTTTGTGTTCCGGCGGTTACGAGGCTTGCTACCTGACCCACTCCGCGTCACACGTCGCCGTCTTTATGTGTTAATTACGGTTATACTACTAACAATAATGTTTTGTATATATGCTAGACTATAAGGTAATAATATTTATGCATGTGCCTACATTGTCTGTAAGAAAAAAAAAATAATATTACATTGGTGCATATACCCTTCGGGCTTAAGTGCATGGCCGCCCCAGACAACGGCTAGCTAGAGCCGAGTCTCAGAGACGTCAGTTGAGCCGACCCCCACAGGTTCGAATGCTCTAGTGGCTTCAGACACTCGCCAATTATTGGCTTGATGATTTATGTTTATGTTAAAACTTTTAATGACTGGCTTACGTTTAAAAATGTACTGACAAAGCATTATTGAAATAAAAAATACATACCTTGACGTCTCCAAACATTTCAACGAGGTCGTGAGAACCGCTGCCGAGCGCCAGGTGGTACAGGATATCCTGATCCATGAGCTCGATGTTCGGATTCCGCAGTCGCACCGATCCATCTGGATATCTGCACATAAAAAAATATCTAATAATAAAAAAGTAATTATTTCTAACACATAGTAAAGCTTGTGATATGGTACTTAGGGGATAATGATACGTATAAATGTAAGTATATACATTTTTTTAATATATATGTATGTAACAGCCATGTCTTAGGTACAAATTCAAATATTTTCTCCACCGGAATTTAACCCAGGACTTCTGAGCACATACTACTCATGGGCTCTGAGTAAGCAACGCCTTGAAAACCGGTATACATAGCACACACACCACGGATGTTGTTAATACTTAACTGGACTTATACTGGATGGAATACATAATAATTAATTTTAGTTATGTCATAGTTGCATACTCAAAATTCATATTAATTTATCGTTTCTCTTGAATGGCTATTACGAGAGCATTTAATAATATTTCGACAGGTTCGTCATGTCCACAAGGCTGTGACCTTTTAGTATTAGTATTCGCACGTGATAGGTTTCCTTGTTGATATGTAGATAAAATATTAATAAAATTTTTGAAAGATTTATTGATAAACAAATGTTTTATAGTATACATGAATATATATATATGAATGATAAATTATTATTTAATAACAAATAACCTGCATGTACATTTTTTTTTGATAGAAGCTTCTTCCTCTTCTCTTCTCCTTAAGTTACTGTACCCAACAGGGTCCATTTGTTAACATTATGGTTACAATAAATATTGAGTATTGAATATTGAATATAAGGTACAAACTATCTAGCGCTCATTTTTTTATTACAATTAGTTGTAATTATTATAGACAGACTTTTTTTTAAACAGAGATTCTATGGTAAACTTTACGCAGCTTATATCTAAACAACTAAACCAGTACAACGATCCTTGAGCTAAGCTTACAAGGCCAAGAACATTACCGAAAATAAGCATATACACGAAAGACATATTTTTATTCTACGAAAATAATGTCGACCTGCAGGTGTCATCCTAAAATTGTACTCCACCAAAACACAAATAATGTCCAAAAAAAATCTCATACAATTGTGAATGAAGGTACAATAAACAACATAGGCATACATATTTAGACCAAAGTTTTTTTTTGCGAAAAAGAAACATATTGTTGAGAAACAATGCCATATATTTAGATACTGAAGGATTTTTTCAAGAATATTATTCCAATAAATTCAAGCGACTCTTTTTAAAGCCAGACTGAATAGGCTCCTTCTGAATATATACCACTAACTTTAAGTTGCACAACGGGACATGACGCGAGCGATGCTGGACAGGACATTACATGCAGATCGAATCATAAATGAAGTCGTCGGCGTCGGGAGAACGACAAAGTTGCCTGCCTGACGTCGCTTGTTTAATTTCCCGCAGTAAATGGAAATGGGTGGGACATCTCTGCACGGTACCATTACTTCATATAAGCCAAAAAACCTGACTTTCCCCAACTTAAGCCCTTTTCCACTATTGGTGATACGAAATTATGTAATTAATAAAAAAAAATCATTACAAATTTTGGGTTTCTGTTATCAATATTGAAATAATGCATTTTCTTTTCAATAAACAAATGAAAAACTATTTAAATATAAGTCGTAAAATGTTTTCCAGCTCACTCTCACTTGTAAGTCTCAGGCTAAAGTAAATTTTCCTATTGCACATTACACGAAATATAATTTTCAATCTAAAACGGAATGTATATACCTATATTTATCTTCCTGAGCTACAAATTAGCCTTCGTACCATAATATGAAAAAGGTACAAAACATCAAGAATTATAGGATCAACGTCACAAGTTCAATTTACATAATGATTAGGTGCGCTCTTAAAAAAAATTACTACCGTTTTTAAGATAAAGCTTCCTAACTAAGTCAAAGCAATGTATCTGCAGTGTTATTCTGTAAAATATTAACGCGCGGATCCGATATAAATACGCGCGGATCCGATGTGGATACTTAAACCGGATCCGCGCGTGAAAATTTTCACAGCACTGCTGTGGTTGTCTATTTTTTATTATTCCAAAGAAACCATCTTGACAAGTGACTAATTACCATGATATTTTTCGTTGAGCGCAGGTGTGCTTAATTTAATTAGCTTGACCATAATTTACTGTAATCATCCACAGCTTCCTTGAAAGTTTTGTTTTGTCTTGACATAAACGGATAAAGATTGATAGGATGACATTGGGGGCGAAACTTCGGTTTGGTCCTATGGTTTTGCCCTTGAACAATATACGCAGGTAATAAAGATTATATATCTTTATTACGTGTATTTGTTACCAGTTAGGTTTATATAATTGCAAGCCGCTCGGATATAAAAATAAGTATTTTCACAAAAATGGAACAAACATCTCTACTTTAGCAAAGTTACCTATATATTTTGCTACATATAAATTCCTAAAGCTCCGCTGAAACTCGATAACTATTTTTCGATAAGACATGCACACGTGCGATTCCTTTGGTACCTACATTTTCATCCAATCTCACTCAATTGAAGTTGTGTGCGTTTACACGAAGCAAAGTTCATTCGTACTTTAGATAAATATTTAAAATAACACCAGAGTGTATAGGCTCGAAAGAATTCGATACGCCCATCAGGGCCGCAGTAGCCTAATGCTCATTGCATTCGCCCAGATAGCGGGTTCGAGTCCCGTCTGCTGCCTGGTCCGCGTGGATTATTTTCTAGTTAAGTACCTTTACTTCTTTAGATTTAAAAATCGAGCAGTATCATGCTTAAAAAATAAAAATTATAATTATTAATTTTTCTTTCTCACAGTATAGCGCCTACTTGTACCCATATTCAATTTCGATTAATATCATGTCCTTAGTAGCACTCCCATGATTAAGCCGAATCGATTGACGAATGTATCATCAAAATCGGTACACGCGTTTGGTCTCTAGTGTGCCACAAAGGAACAGACGTGGGACACTCAGAAAGTTTTGAGAAACTAAAAAACTTACTTCTATGAAAAAAAAATATTTTTATTAAATCTTTTCAAAGAACTCTCCACCAGCTTCTTCCACGGCCTTCTCAAACGCTGCTAGCGCTTCTTCCGGCGATGAAAACAATATTATCCTTTTGAGCTGATTTTTTATGTTAGGGAATAAAAAATGTGACACGGAGCCATATCAGGACTGTAAGGAGGGTCTCCCAAGTCTCTGACTGGTTTGGAATCCAGGAAGTCCTTCATTTTGATCGCAGAGTGCGCGGGCGCGTTGTCGTGGTGAAAAATGACCCCGCGGAGCCCGGTGTTAGGAAGCTTGTTACCCATTGCAGAAAAAAATCTGGCAGGCATTTTGCGCTATACCATTCGGCGTTGATGCTGCTTTGGTCACGAAGTGGAAATGAAATTAGATACCCACCCTGTCAAAATGAAGAAAATAGCGATCAAAATTTTCCCTGCGTTCCTCGATCGCTTCACTTTCGTAGGCGTTGGTTCATTTTGAAACAGCCAAACTGTCGACTGACGCTTTGTTTCTGGATGGTCAATACCATCATATCAATATGAATATAAATCCAGGATTCGTCACCTGTCAGAATATCGGAAACGCGCGGTGACGAGACTGCATCAAATTTTTGTATCATATCACTGCACCAATCCACACGGGCCTGCTTCTGAGCTTCGGTGAGGTTGTGCGGCACCAAGCGGGAAACTCCTCCTTATGCAAAGGTATATTAAATATGCTCGTGCAAAATCTTGTGATAACTTCCTGAACCAATCTGCAGAGTATGTTAAATCTCTTCGTACGTAATTCGTCTGTTTTCTTGAATTATTTTTTTTACTGCCAGCACACTTTCTTCGGTGACAGCCATTGCAGGACGACTATTCCTTTGTACATCCCCCAAAGTAAGACGACCGCGTTTGAACTCGCTACACCAGTGGTAGAGGTTGCTTTTGGAGATCTTTCATCCATAAAAACAGTTCGAAATCGATCAAATGACTCATCAGGTTTTAAGCCACGTTTAAAATCGTTAAAAATCAAAGCACGAAAATGTTCTCTATGCAGATCCATTTTTAATGAGACAAGAAAAAAATAATAGGCTCTCGAAAAAATGCGGAGGGAAATTTTAAAATCGAACAGTGGTATTTTTACTTTTAATAATCGAACTTTTCAAAATAATTACAAGTGGCCAGTGTCTGATACATAAAAAATATTTTTCGAAAAACTTTCTGAGTTGCCTGGTACATACATTATAGACTGTTTAACACATTACCCTGTCTGCGTGTCGCGCTTCGCGCTCTTGCATTACGCGGCCGGGTAAAAAATAATAACAAATCAAGAAAAAATTATCAGTAGGACAAGATACATGGAAAAATAGAATCCGGGTTTTTTTTAATTTCGCCAGCAAAAGGTAACTGGCTGCCTCAGTGGTTTGTAGATACATAGATAATCGGTATGTGTGGTTTGATCTGATATTCCAATTATGATCCTCTGATCATAATAAATCTGATCCGCGGATCAGCGGATTTTCATTCGAATTTCAGCGCCTGTCTGGGGAGATAAGTAACATCCATTGTTTTTTACAAAAAATAGTGAAATAATCTTTTGGTGTAACAATATATCCGTCCATATTTCCGGTGTAATAGGGTAAACAAACAGACACAAACGTACAAACCGTGTGTTTTTGGCCACGGTATAAAATATGATATGTCGTTAGTAATAGGCGTACTCTATATTTATTTATTCTTATTAATCCAGCGAAGATTACTGATATAATATAACTCAGTACCGATAAATTGATAGGTTCCTATTTTTTATGAAATTTAAAATCATATAATAAAATACATCAACGAGTTCTTTATTAATATAACGAAAATAGTTCTAAATTATAAACTGTATGGAAAGTTATATTTAACTGAATGCAATCATGGAAAATAAAGACAAATGTAGGAACTGAAGATTATGTTAATTATAAGCGTTTATTTCCAATTGCGCACCAATTATGCACAGTGAAAAGCGACAATGAAAATTGATATAGGCCACGCACAGACAGTAAATGCTTGATAAACGTTGCCTTGAA